TACACACAGATAATGCGACTAAATACAAATGCAGATACTTGACGTTCCAGAGCTCCAATCGCTCTAAGAGTCGGTCTCAGTTACCGAATCACTGATACTACGGTATGCTGGCAGCGCACCTATAATTGGGACGGTCCCTGTATAATTAAATGTTGCCGTGATAGCCCTAGAAAGCTTCTCTTTTGCGATTTTAGATTGACTAGCAATCTCGAACTTCCGCGTGAAATTAGTGCATTAACGTGATTCACTTGAATTCTTCTCTACGCTCTATGAAATAAAATTGCAAGGAATACTCCTCTTTACAAGGGAAAGGACTCAATATTCGCTTACGCATTGAGAAACAGCCTCTTCGTGTCATTTTGCTGGGAACTGCTTATTCATTCGATTGCATCTAGAAAGATGGGGCAAAGGTGTCCGTTCACATATGGAGAGTGTCCACATGAGATGATGAGGTCAGCTGAGGTGTCGATAAACAAGTGCGAATGAAATCATATGCAAGCCATATCGATCTCTCTCTCTCTCTCTCTCAAGATAACTACCACGCTAGAGCCTAGTGAATGCAGATGGTAAGCAGCTTAGTGGAGGACAGTTGATAATCATTTATGTCTAGACTATGACCAGGCTGGTGAGTAACAGTGATCAAAATCTCTGAGTTCAGAATTTTGGACTTACTGGTTGTGATATGGAAACTCACCGTTTCGATTGCATTTTGGCTCTTGGTCGAAGGACAAGAAGTTAAATGGCATCCGAGCCATTTGTCCTTCGGAGGTATCTATAGTAGAAGGCCTGTACATATCAGTCAATGAAAGACAATGAAAGAAGAGACTTACAGACAACGTGGAATGCAAGGATGTGAATAACTTATGTAACACGTTAAAAAGAGAAGTATACACGGGGTTAAGAGCAGCTCGAAATTTTTAGTTGGTCCTTATAATTATGACACTTCTAACGATTTTAGCCGTTCTTGATAAATAAACGATATGGGAATAAAAATTTCAAGAATCACTCTCTTGAAGTCGAAAAGGGGTGGTATAAGAAGATTCAAGTGGAACTCAGTGTATAGAGAGAATCTAAGAGGAGCACATCGAAATTCGATGATGGGCAGAGGCAAAGGTCTATCTATCGTTTTGAGAGGTTGTTCGCGTCGAGTGCGACAAAAAATCTGCGGTAGTAGATGAAGGGCGGTTTATAAAGAAACCAATTTCTTCATGATTAAAAATCAACGGCCCTGTTTTATTCTGGGTGAGATTTCCCGTTTACTTCATTTTGTATACTTATAATCATATCATATTGATCTTACGCACTTACTTTGCAACTATCACTTACTGCAGGCTTCGGGCGAGACAAGCCTTGCTCTATCTAAAACAATGTTCGACCCTGTGTAAGCAGAAATTTTTGGAAGAATGCGAGGCCCTCTCGCGTTGCATGTTGCTCACTATATTTTTGCTTCATTTTATTCATATCCATTTACGTTCCTCCATTTGTCTCGACTTAAATGATGTTCCAGATCTATATAGATCATGCCGAATCATAAACTCCAAGCAATAGGAGCACTTCTTCCTCATGACTACCGCGGTTGCATGGCTGAATTGAGTGTTAACGAAGAACTAGGCGATAGTAGCCGTGACATTGTAATTAGAACACCGGTCGGGCTAATCCTTTGATTGGTCATCGGCTACCACGACAACTGGTCATCGGGGTGGGCGATGATTAAGTTGGATGATTCCAAAATCGAGTGTTCGCTGCTAGTGACGCAGCCATGAAAACCTTTCCAAATAGCCCCAGATAATTATGGAAATAGCATTCCATTTTTATGTAAGATTCTACTCAATCATCTATGTAACGTTAGATATTCAGCAGCATGTAAAAAATTTGTGCAGGTCCAGCCGGAAACAAAGTTTTTCAAAAAAAAAAACACGAATGTGAGTAGACAGTCATCGAAATGTGTTGTATTACATATTGTATTACAAGTATACATTGATGTTGCGATAAGAGTTTTTTCTCACTTAAAACCTAATCCACTACTTATTCTATAATTCTTGCACTACCTGCTAATATATGAAACTACTTTACAGGTCTATTTAGGAGAACACATCGTAAATTGAGAGTTGATAATCCTCTTCTAGCAAAATAAAAACTCACTTCAAAGTTGTTGTTGAAAAAGAGATATTTTGTTTGTTCTAAACTGTCACAAATGAGATATAATCGCCCTACATTTGTTGGATTTGACATCTCATCTTCCATCTAATGAGTCCCAACTTCTGTTTTTTTTTTTCAAGATGTGCTTAGAAATACGCGCTAGCTAATTATATTGGTACAAATAGGCAGGTAATCTCTTCGACTGAACGGTTTCTTAATCTCAGCCGAGAAACTTGGTATAGATATATGTGCCAGAGGATTTGGAGTCTTGAGCCAGAAACTTTCCTCACCCCTGTAAGAAACTCGGTGCGGTTAGTCCTCACTATCGCGCTCTCGCGATTGTTGATTTTTTGGATCCTCCAACGGCGAAGAATGGGCTCAGTGTTGTAGCAGAGAGGCATGAATGTAGTTTCATAATGGCTGAACCAAATTATTCGTCTGATTTTTCGTATCGGATTTGGCTAGAAATCGAATTTATAATTGTGAGGCTCTGCTGAGGAACATGACAGTCTTTTTAAAAATCAAAATGATCTGACTGAGAACCGGTTAAGAATGCAAGGTGTGTAAAAATAGTGAGCACTTATGACCTGAAGCAGTGATGCTTCTTTTATATGATATTTTTGTTTGTAAAAAAGCACCAACACACTTTAAGAGCATGATATTTACGAATAATCATTTGTTGCTTTTAGTTTATAGGGATGAAATGATGTCAGTGAAACTCGGAATACTGAAACATGATAGACTGAATGAACGTAAAGCTAGAAAGGCCAGGTAGCAGCTTGGAGGCAGACGAGTGGACGGGTCAGTCAGGCGTACGACAAGCCTCGTACGCAAATATTTGGCAGTAGCGCACCTCGAGAGTGACCGAATCGAATGGAGACCATGTAACATGCTGAGAGCCGAAATGAGCCGATCGCGAGCACTTCTTAAGTCTTGTAATGTTCGCTGATGAGAAATCACGAAATCGTACAGAGCAGAAACGGCCAAGCAGGCCTGCTTTATTGAATTGCTAATGAACGTTGAGAACTGCATGTTTTACGTTAAGAATGTAAAGCAACATCTCATCTGTCAGTAAAGGAGCCAAATGGATATTTGAAAGATTTTGCCTACTTTAGAGGCAAACGTAAACGCAAGATTCGCTTCACTTATTCCTATGTATAATCTCAGAACTCCATCGTCCAGTTCACAGTTCTTTACCTTTAGTAGACTATGGATTAGTGCACTCTCCTTTAGGGCGCCCAGAGCCTCGATGACTTAGAAGCAGAAAAGGGCTGTGAATAAAACTTTTAATAAAAAAGGAAGAATTAATAACAAGCTGTGTATCTGAGATTTTAAAACATTGAAATTAGTTCTATTAGTCTGGTGGAATAGTAACTGCGGTTTCATATCGCGCTTGAACCGCAATTAGTTTTGCAATTCTCTTCAGATGGCGGGAATGGTGGGATGGTCGACGTTGTTCTACTGCCGTAGTCTTGAGAGGATCAGCTCCAATGATTGCTTTTTCCATGACTTTTGATGAGTTCCATGGCGGTCTCTATGTTACTTATCTTCAAAGCTCTTGTCTCCTCGAAGAAACTTCTTGAACCTTGTACGCACTGTACGTTAGTTTACAGTTCTGGGTCAGATGCGTGTTGATACTGCGGGCTATCTCTGGTGCTTTGCAACTCATTTTGAACTCAAATGAATAATCACTTGAATTTGTTGTCTGTTGTCTCATGAACATTCTCTCCATACTCTAAAATAGTTATAAAAAATACCAGGAGACACCTTCTTAGCAACAATAAAGCGAGAAATGCGCATTGAAGTGATGCATAATATAATCACATTTATTCAAGAATATATTCCAATAAACGACGCATTTCAACAATGCAAGCCGCAATTACTTTCGTACAAATCTAATAATTCGGTTTATGAAGCTGTTTTCATTTACATCAGCGCCATTATTCCAATCATTTTATACAAAACAGACTGAGAAAAAATGATACCTGATAGGTCCTTTCAGTTTCACTGTTAAATTAAGCAGATTCCACTTAGAATGAAGTAGGAAGGCAGGAAATGACGAGTCAAGAGTGCAACGACAGTAGGAATTTCGCAACGAGAATGGAGATTTCTCTTGTTCTCTTGCCCATTGCTTTGTTTACAGCCTTAGCCGAATGGCCTTCCTTGGATGTACTTCCTATCCTTTCTGAAAATACCGATAAGTGAAATCTCTCAACACTGCTTTTCTATATAGCGAATACTTCTGTTTTAATCAAAGATATAGAGACACTTTCTGCAACCATGAATCGTGCGTAGGCTTCATTGCAATGATCGAGCCATACTTTCATTCATAGAGGGATCGCTACCAGTACGCAAATGTTTAAAGTGTGGTCACCTTTACGTTACAACTCAAATAACTTGAGACTTCTACTGTGAGATGCATTCTTGACTGATTCTTCAATGCACCAATAATTTCCGGGCTTCTAAACTTGCTTTTACACAAATTCATAAACCGATTTGTGATCTTTCTTGGAAACCCTGTGCTGTTGGTCGTCCATAGCATTGTCCGCAAAGCGTAGGTTAGCCGACAAGCTTTCTATTAAACTCTGTAACCAGTCAGAAATGATTCTATTTGACCGCCAATTGCGGTGTTATGATAATGTAATAAACCCAATGAATATAGTAGTATGCAAAAACGTTTGCGTCAGCTGGGACTCGAACTCAGATTTCACTCTTTTCGGGAGCGTGTGCCGCCGTTGCACTACCGACGCTCGTTTTGCATACCTCTCTTTCGACGTAACAACGCGTTATCTGTCAACAACCAATCGTCTACGGTCTGGCGTGGGCGGTCACTTATTGACACAGATAGGTGTGCAAAACGAGAGTCGGTAGTGCAACGGTTTAGCGCGCGCTCCCGGAACGATTGAGATCTGAGTTCGAATCCCAGCTGACACAAACCGTCTTGCACACCACTCTACATCACTGAGTTTATTAACCTTTGTATTGAGATGGGATGGCAATGTTCTCAATCCCTTGCACATGTTGAAGAAACGAAAAGAAAGTGAAAGTTCCTTCATGAAAACTTTGCTGGAGATATTTTGTACTTTTCGCTAGAGTCTTGCCATATGTGTTAGTCGCACAAGGAGAGGATTTTCTTTCAAACACTCTGTAAGTACACAGCCTATTTTGTTCTCCTAGGGCGATAGGGATTCTTTCCAATTTATTTCTGATTTGATTCAGCACAGTGAAGGCAGCAATAGTATATAGTATAGAATGATTGCACCAAGGAGGTATCAAATAGGCAATACCTATTGAACACATAAGGGTGAGATCGAGCTCCTGATGACTGTGGTTAGAATATTCCCATGTCAGTCAGCGATTTTCTAAATGTGGAAATTTTTGGGAAAAAAATATACTGTAGATAAGAGCTCTGCTTAGGTTTCCAGTCTCATTTTGATATTCTATTCCAAATTTTTCCACACAGCATTCATTTTCATCTTTTCGAAGAGTGTCAGTGAAGTGGAGATATTGTGTATTAATTTCAATAGAGTACAGAAATGATCAGAATTTGCAATAAGCAGGAAGTAGACTTAATTTATCGAGGACCTTTGAAGAAAGATGCAGATTGAACCGAACAGTAATGTGAAAACCAACTCTCCTTAAACTTCGGTTTTATCACACAATCATATATTGTTTGCTGATTGAGCCACATTTGCTTGATTTTATCATTCAGCAAATTAAACCACTGCTGCTGGTTATGAAAAATATTTTCGTCTCCTTCAGAGCCGAGTATCGAGTCGCCTACCCACAGTCACTCATCTCTCCATCAACTTCATGTCAGATAGCGAATATCACCATTTCTGTGCCGCGGCGTCAATGAACATCAGTAGTAACGTTAAGAAGGAATTAGACGATGACGAACAGCAAGAGCAGTATTCGCATCTCTCAAAGAAGTCCAGGCAGTTTTGGAGGCAGTTTCACGGATTTTCTGCCAGTGAGTTAATTTTGATGAATAAACATCGCTCTAAAAGCATTCCATTTCCATACATAAGAGATTCATCTATGCTCACTGTACTGGGTTCGGAAGGAGACATCGACGGAGAAGGCTGGTCTCTGCCGACAGGCAAATCCAGTATTGCGTTTCAGAATGTTCTTCTCTTGTTTGTTTTAATCCGTCATCATTGGATGATGTCCTAGGTTTTATTATTCGCTACTTTACCTCGTCAGACTTAAAGAACCTTCTTTAGCTCCTTCTCGTTTATTCCATCGATATGTCCGAATTGAAACGTTACAGTTATTTTTAGTAAAATGTTTGATGTTTAACACCTATTTGAGGAGCACCTCTCTCTGTATTTGCTATGTTCAGTTTCTCTGTTTGAGAATGAAATGTTTGTATAATGTCTTTTTTTCTCATATTTCTAACTTGTAGTTGATCCGAAAAATAGCGGCATCGACGGTACCTATGTGTTTAACATAACAGAATGCAGATAAAGGGGACAGAATCGCTTTCTTCTGTATGAAGGTTAGAGGAATGAAGCTCTCGGCGTAAATCAATCTCTCCAGGGATGCACCATACATTCTTCATTTTTTTGTGACTGGATTCATTTTTGACCTTTTCAATGACTCGCGATGGCCTCCTGCTAAAGCGAACCAATGCTGCTTATCATCCTTGGTAAACTTGCCTGAGACCTTTCTGGAACCAATTTACTGAACTAAAGAGATCGACGGCTTGATGGGCAGATCGCACCATTGACCTTGTGTGCGACGCAATGCACCACTGAGCACTGCGGTAGATGCGCTCTTTTCATCTATTCATCCACATAACGTTGCCATATTATGATTTCCGCAACGTACGAGATTTAGATTGAAGATGATTCAAAAAGGCTGACACATATTTGCCCTTAGAATCACAGAAGACAACATAGTCTATGACTGAAAATTTGAAATTTTGCCTTTGCTTAGTTAAGTGCAATCATGTTGCTACCGATTGCCAGAAACAGCAGATAGATGATGCAGTGACCTTATTGGCATTTTGGATTGCTTCTCTCATGACCACTAAATTCTGGAAGATTTGATAAGCATTTTATAGTGGTATCATGGCGGTGGGTTGCTTGAAGTCGTGAACCAACCGAAGGCGATCTCGCTGCCTCCCCACCGGTGGCATTGCATTCACTCATGTAGGCCACGCGTTCTTGGACATTGCGAACCGTCTCTGAAATATAGAACATAAAAAAACCTATTTAGAGCATCCGCCGGTGCAAAATCGCAAAGGGACGGGGGCAGGCATAGTGCTTACAGGCTTCACCGCCTGGGCTGTACTGTACCGTACGTTTCCGAGTGCGCCATACATGGCCATACATGGATAGACCGAAGTTTTTTCTTACATCATTATATGTTCACAATCCTGAAATCCTCAAATTATTTAAATGTCATCATTGATGGTGAAAATACCTGCAAACCCATAAAGACCAAAAATCACGCGTAATCTCATAAGCACTAAATTCCACTGGCCGTTTGTGTGTTCAAGACATTAAAATCAATTCGTTCAATGAGTTTTGGCACTGGAGAAATAAACCACCAAATCTAATAAGCAGTTGGTAATTAAAACACATTATTCAGTGTCGCTCACTTGCGCATATTCTTGAGAAGATTCTGGTGTACAACTCGCCTATACTTGCTTCGAGATGGAGATGCCGTGAGAACAATTTCGTCATTGCTGTTCACACGAATAAACGCCAAGAAGAAAATGCTAGTGAAGCGGCGCGCAGGGTTAACTAACTATTTGGCGACCAAGCGGAAATCTGGGCGCGGCGAGCTGCGCTTACAATGCGGCAGTTTTCTAATGAAATTTGTACTGATATTATCATTAAAAAAATTTTGGTCTCCATGAAATCATAGGAGGTGATAGGAGAGAGGTTATTAAAGCTACTTGTATTGGGAATATTGCTGATCCTCCTTCCTAGAATCCCGCGTTTCAAGTAAAAGGCTACATACTTAGAAAAACAGGGCTTCCAAGTTATCATCCAAAATTTTTTCAGCTGTCTTATTTCTACTCATTTATATTTCAATCATATCCATCTTTCATTCATTATGTCAGGCACAAATGATTTTAATACACTATGGCTAATGAATTAGTCGAAAAATCAAATGTATTATCATTTTTATGTCTATAATCAAATTTTAGGGCATAAATGCATTGATTATATTACTTTTCTGACTTCATTTACATGTTTCTCAAACTTAAATATGCATATATATGAATATATATGTATATATATATGTATATATATATATATACGTGTGTGTATGATCTGCCATAAGGTTTAGTGTATTTCTGCGGAATGTTATATATTGTATGTGAGATATTCTACACCGGGAGGATCATTTCTCAACAGACAGATATTTGTGGCGATTGCAGGGATGACTAATTGGAAAAGACGGTCTTATACCTGTAAGATGTGCGACATGAATGGTGAGTAAGAATCGAGAGAAAATTCTTTCTGTAGCTTTCCTGTTGAACGCGGACTTCTAGGAAGTATTGGCGTACGTCCTAGTGAGGATGCTTACGGAAATTTCCTTGATAATACACCGCTACCTTGTGATAAAGAAGTGCCCAGACCATCATCTTGCTATAAAACTTGTCAACAGAACCCTCTGCTAAGTTCTAACATTGAGATAACTATCCCGAATAATTGGCGTATTTTTTTCCTCTGGTATTACTCCGCAAGAAGCGTAAAACTGAGATCTCTGTTCTTTTAGATATCAAATGACGCAATAGGGAATTTGTTCTATAAATCAGCCTATTACAAAAAATTCCGTTTCTAAAGCTATTGATTAATTAATAAAGCCTAGTTGAGATTTTTTTCAGATTAAAAAAGCAAAGAAACTTGAGCACTTTTCACAAAATGTAACTGAAGTTCGCACGATTCATTATGAGAAGTGGAAGTTTTTTCGGACAGGTAGGCGCTCTTTCTACTAAAAGCAAGTTTGTAGAAATTTTGTGATATGTCCTAATCTTCTTCTTTAAGCCAAACACTAGCTGTTACAATTAACATCATTCGATAGTCATTGACTGATTGGATTGCGGACAATTTGACCTTTCCAGGCTCGGAAGAAGGCGAACTGCCGAAACGTCAGCTAAGCATATTTTTGAAATCTGCGATTCTCAAGCTGCTGAATGATTATTTATAATATATCAAGAAGCTCTGTTGAAAAAAGAAGAAAACCCGAGCTTTCTCCACATAAATGCAACGGCATCCACGCCTTCCGCGATCAAAGGTGTAGACCTTAAAGGCAACAGAGTATTCTTTCTACTATTTTTACGTTTAAAGAAGCCCATCCAACGACAGTCTAATTTTTTATCGCGACAAAGGCTACTTAACATCAAAATTCTAGTGCATATTATTTAAAATTCCACATTGAAACTGAAACAACGCACTTTGGGAGCAAAACTTCACTTTCTCTTTCGTTAGAAGAATGTATATAGAAGTCCCTTAATAAATTAGGCTTAGTGTAAGGAAGTCATCTTTCAAGCTATCAAAGACTACAAGAGCATAAATTGAAAAGAAAAAAAGTGCCATATAATAATCAAAAGTAACTTCGCTTTCTAAAAGAAGTGGTTTATTTGTTGGATCATAAAATGCGTTCAAGACAATTGGACGTTTCCTTCACAAGAAGCCCTTTATAAAAGGCTCTTCTGAATCTTTCATCACTTAATGCAGACAGTGTGCCCTCAAAACATTAATCAACAAATAAATTTCTATTTGCATGAAAGCACGTGATGATACGAACCAGCTGCAGCCCGCGGCAGCCCGCCGCGGCCGCAGCGAACGCGGCGCATGCTATGTACCGAAAACGGTACATATGGTCGTCAACGAGTTAACGGAGCTTCCTGTGGACGGCCTGAGCGCGACTGATACTCTAGACTGTTCTCTCCAGCTTTGGACGTTGGGAAC